TGACACGTTCATAATTTATAACTTAACGTTTAAGTGGCTGTAGTTTCACTAATTACAGAAATGTAAAAATGAGTAAAATAAAGATATGCATGTAAATAGGAACTATATTCATTTAAGTTTTGAAATAATCTGCATGCTCTGCAGAGATAAAACAATTATTTGGCTTACGAGGATTTTAAAATTTAAGTTTTGAGACCCTGACAATTAAGACAGTGGTTTTTTAAAGTGGAGTATGTATAGATTTCTTATCACGTTTTTAGTAGACTCTTCTATTCAACTTTTATTATGAGATGTGCCGATATTCAGAATCAGGCTTGCACATATTAATATGTAGGCGCTATTCTAATTCACTGTGTCCATTGGATATTCACCTACTTCTCAGTTTTCCTTTGGGAATATGCAAATCAGGTTACCATCAAAAAGTCTCTGTTCCTTTAGCCCATTATCAGATGTGCTCCATGAATTGCTGAAAAGTCTATTAAATCCCTTCGGCAGTTACCTACCTACCTACACACACACACACACACACACACACACACACACACAGATCTATCTAAAAGATAAACAGAGAATACCAAGCTCCCAATGCTGTAGAGGGTAGGTGTTGGAACTCTTAGCTCAAAGCCTCAGCATCACAGGTAACTTGCTTTGCAAATTGTGTATAAGTCACATAACCTATAAGAGGCTCTGTTAAGTGAGTTATAAATGGGCTTTATAACAATAATAATAACACTTCCTTCGCTTGTTTAGTATGAGAATCAGGCGAACCTACATAAAACTTTGCTTGGTAGACTATAAACCCTTATTGAGCTCTTCCTAGGGCTGCCATTACTACAAACTACGTGGCTAAAAACAACAGAAACTTAATCTCTCTCAGCTCTAGAGATCTGAAGTCTGAAACGAGAGCTTTGTGTCCTGTGTACTTTCTTGGAAGCTTCAAAAGGAAAGGGTCCTTCCTTTCCTCTTCTATCTTCTGACAGCCCCACCCAGGCTGTGAGAACGTGACTCCAATCCATGCCTCAGTCTTCACGTGGCTTTCTGTCTGTATTTCTGTGTCTTATCTGTTCGTCTTCTTATAAGGACACCTGTCATACTGGATTAGGAGCCACCCTACTCCAGCATAACCTTAACTACGTATTTATTGGCCCTATTTCCAAATAAAAGGAAATAGGCTATTGGAGGTGAGGACTTAAATGTACCTTTTTTTTTTTTAAGGGACACAGTTCAACCTCTGACCCTCTCCAAAGTCATGTCCTTCCCATGTAAAAAATACGTTCGCCCAATCCAATCCCAGTGTCCTCCAAAGTGTAAACCATTGTAGCCTCACCTCTAAGTCCAAATTCTATCTAAATAAAAACAAAACAAAACAAAAAACAAATTCTATCTAAATCGGTTAAAGGGTGTGACTTGGGGTATGGACCCTCAGGGGCAAGGTTCCTCTCCAGTTGTGGACCTGTGAAGCCCAGAAAGCAAGTCATCTGCTTCCAAGATAAAACAGTAGGACAGACATAGAATAGATATTCCCCTTCAAAAAGGAAGAGATTGGAAGGGAAAAAAAGAAGGGTCACTGGTCTAAAGCAAATTTGCAACTTAGCAGAACAAGTTCCCTTGGGTTTTAAGGCTTGAGAACAATTCTCTGTGACTCCGTGCCGTGTCCTCTGCATCAGAGTTCTACAATGAAGCAAGACTGAGACATTAGTTTTAAGGACTTGGTTTATGTAGTTACAGGGGCTGGCAGGTCTGAAATCCGCAGAGAGGCTAGCAGGCTGGAGATTCACGTAAGAGCTGATGTTTTGGTCTTGAGTCCAGAATTTGTAGGGCCTGCCAGGAGGCTAGAAACTCAGGCAGAATTCTTTCTTCTTTGGGAAACTTCAGTTTTCACTCTTAAGGCCTTCAGGTGATTGGATGAGGCTCACCCTTGTGAAGGGCAATTTTCTTCACTTCAAGTCAATTGGTCATAAATGTGAATCACTTCTATAAAATACCTGTGCAGTGGTTATCGAGGCTATCGGCCGACCCAACAGCTGGCACCGTAGCCAGGCCAAGTGGATGCATGATATTAGCCATCGCAGACAGGAGGTAGAGGAGAAAGCATATGGAGAAGCACCTGTTTTTTTTTTTTTTTCTCGGTGTTTTCTTTTATCTGTCTTTTTTATCCCCCAGATAAAAGTTGATTGGGAATTTGGAGATTTTCTAGGGAAACTAGTATTTCTACTTTTTATCTTTTGCCTCTCCATTCCTTCTTTAATGACTTATTTTCAGAGTGGTATAGGCTGCTTAGAAGTTCTTGGAGACACGAATCCATATGTAGTGCATGTATCCCCCTCCCACCTAACCCGAGAGTTCTGTTAAAATAACCTGGCATCATAACTCTTCTTTGTATATCTGGGTATGGGTTACAGTGTACCTCGACTCTGCTTCGTGCCCACCTTGTCAGGCAAGTTTCTTCTCTGATTCCTCCTCTTTTTCTACTGGAACATAAGTTGTGTAAGGGCAGGAGTTTTAGTCCGTTTTGTTGATTGCTTATCCGCAGTGCCTAGAATGGTGCCAAGCACCCAGTACGTGCATAATATAGTTACTAGTACTTAAGGACTCATGATTCATGGATGCAGAGAGAGACCCATGGTTTTCTCCCCTCCCCTCTTCTCCCCTTCTTCACTTACCTGTTCCCTGTAATAATGGACTTGCTGAATTTGAGGGTTATTCTTACTATTAGTTTTATACTTTATATATACACACACATATATACGTGCTTCTATATATAATATTTCATAAAGTTTTATGAGTTATCAGACTTCATATATTGACATCATACTAATTAATCCTTTTGCCATATGATTTATTTGAGCTGGCTCAAATATATAGTTTAGCTGTGTATATATTAACTCTGTATATTCCATTTTAACTCTGTATATTCCATTCCATGAATATACATATTTTTTTCAGGTTTTTACTTAAATTCCAGTTAGTTAATATACAGTGTAATACTAGTCTCAGGTGTAGAAGTTCATGATTCATCACTTATATACAACACCCAGTGCTCATCACAAGGGCCCTCCTAAATCCCTGCTACTCATTTAACCTTTTCCCCCACCCACCTCCCCTCTGGTAACCATCAATTTGTTCTCTGTAGTTAAGAGTCTTTTTTTTTTTTTACCCCTATGTTCATCTGTTTCGTTTTGTAAATTCTACATATGGGTGAAATCCTATGGTATGTATCTTTCTGTGACTTATTTCACTGAGTGTAATATTCTTTAGCTCCAATCGCATTGTTGCAAATGGCAAGATTTGATTCTTTTATGTCGGAGTAACATTCATTGTGTGTGTGTGTGTGTGTGTGTGTGTGTGTATATATATATATATATACATTATATATATATATATTATATATATACCATCTCTTTTTTATCCATTCATCAGTCATGGACACTTGGGCTGTTTCCGTAATTTGGCTATTGTGGGTAATGTTGCTGTAAACATTGGGGTGCATGTGTCCCTTTGAATTAGTGTTTTTGTATCCTTTGGGTAAATACCTCGTAGTGCAATTGCTGGATCATAGAATGGTCCTATTTTTAACTTTTTGAGGAACCTCCATACTGTTTTCCAGAGTGGCTGCACCAGTTAGCATTCCCACCAACAGTGCAGAGAGTTCCCCTTTCTCCACATCCTCACCAAAATCTGTTATTTCCTGTGCTGTTAATTTTAGCCACAACTGACAGGTGTGAGGTGATCTCATTGCAGTTTTGATTTGTATTTCCCTGAGGATGAGTGACGTTGAGCATCTTTTCATGTGTTTGTTAGCCATCTGTGTCTTCTTTGGAAAATATCTATTTTATGACTTCTGCCTATTTTTAAACTGGATTTTTAATTTTTGAGGTGTTCAGCATGATATGTTCTTTATAGATTTTGACTACTAACCCTTTATCACAGATGCCATTTGCAAATCTCTTCTCTCATCCAGTAGGTTGCCTTTTAGTTTTGTTGATTGTTTCTTTTGCTGTGCAGAAGCTTTTTATCCTGATGAAGTCCCAATAGTTTATTTTTGCTTTTGTTTCCCTTGCCTCCAGAGACGTGTCTAGTAGCAAGTTGCTATGGCTGAGGTCAAAGAGGTTTCTGCCTGTGTTCCCCTCTAGGATTTTGATGGTTTCCTGGTTCACATTTAAGTTTTCATCCATTTTGTATCGATTTTTGTATATGGTGTAAGAAAGTGGTCCAGTTTCATTCTGCATGTTGCTACCTAGTTTTCCCAATACCATTTGTGGAAGAAACTATCTTTATTCCATTGGATATTCTTTCTTGCTTTGTCGAAGATCAGTTGACCATATAGTTGTGGGTCCCTTTCTGAGTTTTCTGTTCTGTTCCATTGATCTGTGCATCTGTTTTTGTGTCAGTATCACACTGTCTTGGTCAGTAAAGCTTTGTAATATAACTTGCAAGTTTGGAATTGTGAGGCCTCCAGCTTTGCTTTTCTTTTTCAAGATTGTTATGGCTACGTGGAGTCTTTTGTGGTTCCATACAAATTGTAGAATTGTTTGTTTTAGTTCTGTGAAAAATGCTTTTAGCATTTTTATATGGATTGCATTAAATGTATAGATTGCTTTGGGTAATATAGACATTTTAACAAGAATGTACATATATTAGTTATCTAAACTTTTATTGATGTACATTTGAATTGTTTCCAATTTTTTAAAACTCTTATTTCCATGTAGCTACAAACGTTCTTTACTTGTCTTCTTGTGCACAAACGGGTACATAGGAGAGGAATTAATGATTATAAGATATGCATCACTTCAAAAATCAGTTTTCAGAGTGTAAGAGAGTTCTCACTCCTCCACATCCTGTGCTTGTGTGAAATCTATAGAAATCTAGACATAAGCTGTGGACTAGCTTCATTTGATTTTTGTTGCAAAGTTCTGCCTGTGTCTCTTTGGCTTCAGTGTAAAAAAATATTGCCCCAGGTGGTGATGGGCAACGGTTTTATTTTTGTTTCTTCCATTCAGGAGGAATTGAGGGAGTGGAAGACAGGCCTAGACTGGCACCTGGCTTGCATCCGTGGGTGAGTCTCATCTCTGATCTTGCATGGAACACTTGTTCAAGTCCTCCCTCTACTACACAGAACATGAACTTTTGCTTCATTGACTGCTTCTGGCTCCAGATTCCAGCAGACTTATTATTATTTTTTTGGCTTTTTACTGTCTGTTTTAGGTTTTAATTTTTTTGTATATTTTTAATTGGAGTTCGATTTGCCAACATATAGCATAGCACCCAGTGCTCATCCCACCAAGTGCCCCCCTCAGTGCCCATCACCCCATCATCCCAGTCCCCCGCCCACCTCCCCTTCTACTACCCCTTGTTCATTTCCCAGAGTTAGGAGTCTCTCATGTTCTGTTTCCCTCTCTGATACTTCCCACTCATTTTCTCTCCTTTCCCCTTTATTCCCTTTCACTAATTTTTATATTCCCCATATGAATGAGACCATATAATGTTTGTCCTTCTCGATTGACTGACTTCACTTAGCATAATACCCTCCTCCAGTTCCATCCACATTGAAACAAATGGTGAGTATTCATCGTTTCTAATGGCTGAGGAATATCCCATTGCATAGACCACATCTTCTCTATCTATTCATCTGTCAATGGACACCGAGGCTCCTTCCACAGTTGGCTACTGTGGACATTGCTGCTATAAACACTGGGGTGCAGGTGTCTCAGTCTTTCACTGCATCTTTGGGGTAAATCCTCAACAGTGGAGTTGCTGGGTCATACAGTAGCTCTATTTTTAATTCTTTGAGAAACCTTCACACAGTTTTCAAGAGTGGCCAGCAGACTCATGTTTCACCACACTGTGCTTGTAGTCAGTGGAGATGTTTATTATTGTTACTATTATTATTACCATTACCATTACCATTTAGTTTATTTATTTTGGTTTTCTCTTTTCAGATATATTTTTCATCATCATGTGCTTGCAGCAGAGAGCTTATATCCAAATGCAAATTTGCAGGAACACCTTTCTTTTTAAAGCTTCAATTTTAATTCCAGTTAATTAACATACAGTGTAATGTTAGTTTCCATAGTAGAACTTGGTGATTCATCACTTACATACAACACCTAGTGCTCATCACAAGTGCCCTCCTCAATCTCCATCACCTATTTAACCTTTCCCCCCAGAAGACCTCTCCTCTATAGAAATATCTTGATCTATTAGCTGACTTTTGACTAAAGTTGGATAGCAAACAATCAAGGCTGAAGTGGCTGGCAGTTCTGTATCACCTATTGCAATAGGATAGATCTGCTTTATATTCTAATTGTGTGAGACAATGGAAAAATGACATTAGTATGTAAAATCATAGCTTTACTTGTATTCTTACCTGGAGGAAGGATGTTCCATCTCTATACCAATATGGTTCTGCAAGAGTACTTTATAGTAGTTCAAGAACTTTAATTCAAATGCAGTTTTGGATCTAGTCAGCTATTTGAACCAAAGCTTTAATAAAGCTGCTGAATTCTGAACTCTAAAACATAAAAGAGTTGATCCTGACTTTTTTGTAGTTAGGAAGTTTCTATCACCTCTATCATAAAATAACTTACAAGGATCTTAAAAAATTTAGAATTTGGAGTGATGTAATAAGCGTGTCAGGATGATTTTTCTACATCACAGTGTCACGTATAATGAAGCTAACCTGTTGGATGGAATATTTAGCATTTTATATCTGGATGTAGAAGAATATCTACCAAAAATGATGAGTTAGGTTTAGCAAAATTAATACTGAGCTATTCTTTTTGACAGTAGTTGGCAAATAGAATCAGTTGTTTCTTTAGGCTACTTCTGAAATATTCTAGTAAGACAATGTCATCAACATGGAATAAATATGGAAGATAAGAATCCTAGGATGTTGAACAAAATTAAACCTAATTCAGTAAAGTGATGCACTGTTTCTTACGGACTAGACAAGTTGCCAGTGAATATGGGGTTTTTATTGTCTGATAGTCCTTTGTAATTTTTAGCAGGAAGGCATTTTATATTAATATTTAGTTAATACATTTTTCTCCTTAATGTAAGTTAAAATCATGGAAATAGTAAATAACTGTCTAATATAGCCTAGAAGGACATAAGTCAGCAACAATGAAAAAATCATAACATCCATTTCTTAGAACACTGAATTTAATATTGGAAACACTTTATAAAGATGAAACTGTGTTTTTCATTATGTCTATTACTTCTTCCAAGTGACTTTAGTCTCTGTTGGACTTTTCTCTGACATTTTCTGGGGCATCCTTGGCTAACTATCAGAAAGAGGGAGCCAGATTTACCAGTTCTCCAGGTGTACTAGCATCTCTCTTACCAAAAACTTGTACAAAATATTCTTTATTTTTTTTTTCTTTTTACTTTTTTCTTTTTAAACAGGCTCTGTGCCCAACATGGGGCTTGAATTTGCAACCCTGAGATCAAGACTTGTCTGTTCTACTGACTATGCCAGCCAAGCACCCTCAAAATATTCTTTTTGGATTATTTTTCTCTTTTCTTTTCACTTAAGTACTCATGTTCACCAATAAATACTCAAGAAAAATACATTTATAATGTCCTCAGGCTGATTTGATTATACTTCCTAATACAATGGCTATTAGCCATTTATTACCATAGACTTTTTTCCCAACTAGAGTTTGATTACAACTTAATGCCATGAGTCTTAGAATGGACTGAATTAACATACCTCCTTTGTATTGTGGTGTATAATGTTTATGCAACATATTTGGGACAATTGAGAAAATAGCCACTCAAGTCATTTCTGTATTTGCTGGTTCAGATCATTGCAGTTGAGAAAAGCTACAAGAGTATTGTAATTTGCCACGTTTTCTTGTTGATGTCTCCCAAAGAATTACATACTTTGTGAATGCATGAGCTGTGTCTTGCCCCATTGTTGTGCCTCTAATTTTAGTCTATTGAACTCTTTCCTTGCAGGAGTTGTTAGATAAATATTTGTGAATCAAATGCTAGACTAAAGGAAGCTTCTTTTGGCAGAACTCTGGTGGTAGAACTGTTTAAGGTGATCATTAATGAATATCATAGTGTCCAAGGAGGAATATGTGGGCCTAAGTCACAATACTAAGTTAATATTTGAAAGGCCCAATGAGGTGTGGAGAGTGGTGGTAATCTGTGATTATAATTGCCTCAGAGAGTGGTGAGACTAATCCTCAGCTCTAAGGTCATTTTACTCATGACCGAGCTAGTCTGGATCAGCAAGAACAATGATGGAACAAAGCCCCATGTTCCTTTGTAGCAGCAGACCAGCTTGGGTTGGGTAGTGATGGCAGGGCTCCCAAGAGAGGTTATCAAATGTACAAATGGCTTTTAAATACCCACTTGTTTCTTATTTGCTATTATTGCATCGGCCAGTGTTACAGACTGAATGTTTGGGTCTCCACCCCAAATCCATTGAAGTCCTACCCCTCAATGTAATGGTATTTGGAGATGGGGCCTTTGGGAGGTAGCTAGGTTAGGAGAGTAGGGACAAGGTCTGATGGAATTGTTGCCCTAATGTGAAGACACACCACAAAGCTTGATATCTCTCTGTCTGCACATGTGCATTAAGAAAAAGCCATGTGAGCCCGCAGAAGGTGGCTTTCTGCGCGTCAGGAAAAAGGTTTTCAACAGAATGCAACCATGCTGGCACCTTGATCTTGGACGTCCAGCCTCCAGAGTGTGAAAAAACTACTTTCTGCTGTTTAAGCCCCCCAGTCTATGGTATTTTGTTAGGATAGCCTGCACCGACTACTACACGCACAGTAAGTCACATGGCCAGGTCCAAAGTAAATATGAAAGAGAACTATTTTGAGAGGTAGTTGTAGGGAGGGGAATAACTTCTAGGCAATTTTGTATTATTACCATTTTTGCATCATGGTATTTAGATAAATATGATGCATGATATAATAAAATTTAGGTAGGTATCATGAACTAATGAATTATGCTTCTTTGGATATAAAACATTTTTTTAAATTCCAAAAGCTAACCTTTTAAAAAAATGATTTGGAATCAGATATACTGATATTATTTGGTGCTTATATGTCATGCACTTACTTATTAAGAGTACTTCAGGACTATTGTGTGTTTTACTAGTTTTGCAGGCTGCCTCATATTTGCCAATGGATATGTATATGAGACCAAATGACAGTGCAGGCTACATATTCATTAAATCCACCTTCACATAATCTGTTCAAATTTTAACATTTCTATTATTTCATTGCCAATTGACCTTGAGGCAAATTGTCAAGAAATTTATGAGGGTAACAGCATGAATATGTGTTCTCAAGTGTCTCTTGGGTAAAATATGACTCATGGCTTTCTTGCTTCTGAAATGAGTAAGCCTCAAACCTGAAGTTGACAGCAGAGTCATTGTACAGATTGATGTTCTCAATGACTAACATTTGACGGAGTTTGCTTCTGATTTATTACGCTTCTAGTAAAAAACAATTTACCTCACTTTTTGGAATTTTGACTATGTGCTTTCACTAATTGGATAAAAAAAATTCAATTTCTTTTATATTGAGGACATGTGCATTTTGAATAAACTAATCATTTTAAATTAAAACTTTATTTTTAAAATGTATAGTTGCAGTGTGTTTCTAAGTATGCTGACATGGTCCTGCTCTTTTCTTTTTTGATGTCAAGTAGCTCCTGATACATTTTTTTTTAATTTGTGCCTAACAATAAGCCTAATGCTTATATCAAAATCCATTTACTAATTATTGGATTTTTGTTACAATTATCTATTTGAGCACAGCAAATGTACTTGAAAAACAATCATACACAATTAGGTACAGCCCTCACTAATGGAGCTTATAATTTCTGGAAAACAGAAAACTAAGAAATCACTTTTCTCTTTCTTCTCAGGAGTACTTTTAACTATTATAACATTATAAATTTATTTTGTTTAAAGAATTAAAGTATGTCACCTTGAAAAGGAAACAAAATGCAGGAAATAGAGGGAAAGAAAATAATATACAATTCCTTCCTACAGTATTTTCACCTACCAAGAAGATAAAATAACATTACTATTAT